GAGTATAAATTAATTTATTCTGATTCCCCTTTTTTCTTCCATAACAGAAAGTGGTTCTAGTATGACAAACGATCAATATGTTTCAGTTTTTATAGCATTGAGATAGATTGAAAAAGACGACATATTGATCTTTTTAGTTTTGTAGTAAGGCCATCTGAAACTTGGCTTGATTTATATATATACATTTATTATGTATAACCTTTTTGTTCCAGAATTTGTGTTATATGACATGTCCATTTGATGTTACAAATTTACATCAAACAAAATAGGAGAATATGTGGATTTATCTTGATCCTTTTATTATAAGACCAATGAATGTCCTAGTGGCAAGCCATAATCAAATTAGAAGAGGGTTTACCTTTTAATTTGACAAAAAATATGAATACAATATAGATATAATATATATATATATAAATATTATATATATATATATGAAGGACTTTTAGATTAAAAAAATTTGTTGTTTTATCAACTTATGATATTGAATATAGAATTTCTAGTTTAATGAAGATGTATCTGATATCAAAAGATGAATTTAATGTACATCATCTGAGAGAAAACAGATGGTTTCCTGAAAAATTTCACAGGAAAAAATTTTAAATGAGCAAAGAAAAGGTTATTAAGAACACAAAAAAAAGAAAATGAAATATAATAAAAATTTTTTTATAAATTATTATATATAGCATTAAGAAAACGAAAAGAAAACAAAAGAAAAAACGAAAAAAGGATATGAAAAAATCGAGGGAAAAAAGGAAGAAATAAAAAAATTAAAAAGGAAATTAAAAATTCAACATAAATATAAAATTATAAAAAAAAAATATTAAAGACATAAAAAAAAGGGAAAAAGTCCCATATATAATAAATCTTAGAGAAACACGTGTGATTTTTAACAGGTTGATAGTGAACACGCGCCCAAAAAAATAGAGCATTAATATTATAAATTTTTAAATGGAAACAAAAAATATATATATAAATAAAGATAAACAGTTATTAAGATCCCCCACCAACCTCTTGAAGAAAATTATTGTTAATAGCGAGGTGGTGATATATAAAATATGAAATTTTAATGATTATCCATGTTAAAACAATGAGAAGAAAAGGAAAGTGGAGCATGAAAGGGAATTCAACTGGAAAATTACGAATGAAAAGGAATATTGACCAGGATGAACACGCAAAAGAAAAAGGAAAAAGTGGGAGTATGAGGGAGGGAAAGGGTTAGGGGCAACACGTGTGAAGAAAAAAAGAGTTGACCAGGATGAACACAGCGAGAAGAAAAGGAAAAAGTGGAACATGAGCGAGGGAAAGGTTTTAGAGGAACACGTGTGAAGAAAAGGAAACACAAACCAAGATGAACACGCGCGAAGAAAAAGGAAAGATTGAAATGAAACCAATGAACGTTAGAATAAGAAAACGTGAAGAAAAAGAAAAGTGTTGACCAGGATGAACACGTGGAGAAAAAAGGAAAGAGTGGAACATGAGCGATAATAAATGTTAGAGGAAACAAAGTGAAGAAAATGAAAGTGTTGACCAGGTTGAAATCGCGCGAAGAAAAGGAAAGAGTGGATGCATGAGAAGGAGGGGAAAAAAGCAGGAGGAAACAGAGTGTGAAGAAAAGGAAAGAGTTGACCAGGATGAACACGCGAGAAGAAAAGGAAAGAGTGGAGCATGAGCGAGGGAAATGATAGAATGGAACACGTGATAATAAAAGGAAAGAGTTGACCAGGATGAACACGCGAGAAGAAAAGGAAAGAGTGGAGCATGAGCGAGGGAAAGGTTAGAGTGGAACACGTGTGAAGAAAAGGAAAGAGTTGACCAGGATGAACACGCGAGAAGAAAAGGAAAGAGGGAGCATGAGGAAATAAAGGTTAGAGTGGAACACGTGTGAAGAAAAGAAAAGAGTTGACCAGGATGAACACGCGAGAAGAAAAGGAAAGAGTGGAGCATGAGCGAGGGAAATGATAGAATGGAACACGTGATAATAAAAGGAAAGAGTTGACCAGGATGAACACGCGAGAAGAAAAGGAAAGAGTGGAGCATGAGCGAGGGAAAGGTTAGAGTGGAACACGTGTGAAGAAAAGGAAAGAGTTGACCAGGATGAACACGCGAGAAGAAAAGGAAAGAGTGGAGCATGAGGGAGGGAAAGGTTAGAGTGGAACACGTGTGAAGAAAAGGAAAGAGTTGACCAGGATGAACACGCGAGAAGAAAAATGAAAGAGGAGCATGAGCGAGGGAAAGGTTAGAGTGGAACACGTGTGAAGAAAAGGAAAGAGTTGACCAGGATCAACACGTCAGAAGAAAAGGAAAGTGTGGAGCATGAGCGAGGGAAAGGATAGAGTGGAACACGTGTGAAGAAAAGGAAAGAGTTGACCAGGATGAACACGCGAGAAGAAAAGGAAAGAGTGGAGCATGAGGGAGGGAAAGGATAGAGTGGAACACGTGTGAAGAAAAGGAAAGAGTTGACCAGGATGAACACGCGAGAAGAAAAGGAAAGAGTGGAGCATGAGGGAGGGAAAGGAAAGAATGGAATATGGCAGATGAAAAGGAAAGAGTGGAACATGAGTGAAAGAAAGGAAAGCGTTGAACACCTGAGAAGAATAGGAAAGAATTGACCAGGATGATCACGTGAGGAGAAACGGAAAGAGTGGATCATGAGGAATGGAAAGGAAAGAATGGAAGATGGCAGATGAATAGGAAAGAGTGGAACATGACGGAAAAAAGGAAAGTGTTGAAAATGAGGGAAAGAAAGGAAAGAGTGGAACACGTGAGAAGAAAAGTAAAGAATGGAGCATGAGTGAGGGAAAGGAAAGAATGGAAGATGTCATTTGAAAAGGAAATAATGGGCGTGAGGGAAAGATAGGAAAGAGTGGATCACTTGAGAAGAAAAAGAAAGCGTAGATCATGAGGGAGGGAAAAGAAATGTTTGTAACACGAGGGAAGAAAAGGAAAGAGTGGAGCATGTGTAAAGGTTATTGTAAGAATGGAAGATGGCAGATGAAAAGGAAAGAATGCGACATGAGTGAGAGAGAGGAAAGCGTAGAACATGGGAGATGGAAAAGGATGAATGAAACATGAAGAAGAGAAAAGAAAGAGTGGAAAATGGGGTTGGGGATAGAGAAAATGTATTACTTTTCCATTGATTATTGGTTCTGATGGGATTATCACGTTTGGATACAAACCGATTAATTCTACTCCCATATGTCCTTTCCAACCGTGTCGTAAGATTATCTCCATTTTACAAGCAGCACAGTCGAAATAACTTAAATTGATTCTTTTCAGAAAGAAATATTAATAATAACCGCCCCCACCTTCCAAAAAAGAAGTAATGTCGAATAATGAAAAATCGAAAACCGTAACGAAAATAAAATTGGATCCGGCGAAACTTGGAATTGAAGATTTTACTGGAAGAGACTAATGTCTGAAGATGAAGAAACAATCAATCCAAGTTACTGGAATTCAGTCTTAGAAATTTAAGTTTCGTTTCAAACCAAAAGAAACGGTAGTCCAAGAAAGCGGATGAAAAATCCTGGAACACTGGTCAGCGAAACTTTTGTCGTGTCCTCCCTCCAAAGAGTCTATGTTGGACTCTTCCGCCTACTATAAGATTAGTAGGAGAGTAGTCCTTGGCGGAACAGTCGAATAGACCGCTGGGCAAAGTTTCGTCCTGGGAGGTAGACGTTTATACGGGTTCAAAGGTAATTTGGGGGCCGAGACTACGGGCTCGAAGTACCCACAGTATACCGGCCTTGTGCAACATACATCCCTCGTGGGTGCGGGGGACTGTTAAATATAACCGTCGACCAGATTGTTCATCTGTCGAACTCGGACGAGGCTTTCCTCACGTGTTTCCTCTTCTACCTGTTCGTATTACCAACCACCTGTCGGGATGTGTAGATGGGCTGAGTGGCAAAGCTGAGAGCGACATAACAGAGGTTGTTCCCCAAGTGTCGCCTAACTTTTTCACCTTGGTGAAGCCCTGAATAAACTGTCTAATCATAATGGGAAAGAAATGGCAACCTACTGCAGGAAAAATCTGCCTCATGTTATGTATCGAAAGATACATGACTGCCTAAGCGTGTATCACGCATGGCACATAACTGACTGAATGACATGTATGAAAAGTCTTAACTTAAATTAAGAGTAATGGGTAGCGGCTTGAGGAATCGGAGAGCCGAGTTCGAATTCCAGTCGAATCCATTACATTCACTTACGTGCTAATACCCTTCGGAAAAGTATGAATCCTCTTCTTCTCCCCCCAGATATAGGTAAATAGCAGGCTAGACCGTGCTCTGTAACCTTTGATGGCAACTGGTCTACCGTAGAAAGAAATGGCAACCTACTGAGGGTAAACATCTGCCTCGTCAGTTATGTATCGAAAGATACATGATCACCTAAGCGTGTATCATGCATGGCACATAACTGACTGACTGACATGCTAATACCCTTGGGAAACGTGTGAATCCTCTTCTTCTCCTCCCCACCCCCAGCTATGGTTAAATAGCAGAAGAAACCGGGTTCTATAGCCTTGGATGGCAACTGGTCTACCGCAGAAAGAAATGGCAACTGACTACGGGAAAGAAATTGCCTCGTCGGTCATGTATCGAAAGATGTATGATCACCTAAGCGGGTATTAGACATGACACATAACTGACCGATTTATTTATTTATTTCAATGTTGAGTGGAATAAGAAAATTTATGAAGTTTCTTTTTTGGAAAAATAATAACAAGCAATATGATTTATGGAGAAGGATGATTGCCTACGTTCATTTCCAGACATCCAACCATTTACTTACGTGCTAATACCCTTCGGAAAAGTATGAATCCTCTTCTTCTCCCTCCAGCTATGGGTAAATATCAGGACAGAAAACGTTTATAATTTCGAACGATACGTGTGAATCTAATATTCAGAAATAAAGGGCAACTTACTGAGGGGAAAAATCTGCCTCGTCAGTCATTTATCGAAAGATATGTTCAAATAATCCCCTCAAATTTGAATCATCTTTTTTGCACATAACTGACTGACTTACATGCTAATACCCTAACTAAACGTGTGAATCCTCTTCTTCCTCTCCCCATAAGCTATGGGTAAATAAAAATATGGAAAGTGGGTTCTGTGGCCTTGATGGCAACTGGTCTGTGAGAATTGGTAAGACTGTGGGAAAAAAATTGAAGTCAGTCATGTATCGAAAGATACATCATCGCCTTAAAAATTAAAGAAACGCATGGCACATTTTTACTCACTGATTTTATTTATTTATTTCAAAGTTGAGGGGCATAAGAAAGTTTATGAAGTTTCTGTTTTGGAAAAATAATAACAGGCAATGTGATTCCATATTACTGCCTGGCTTTTGAAAGGATTAACAAATTAAAAACATATAAAAGCGAATGCTAGATTATTTTCCTCCAAATGAGGAGAAGACTATAATGAACAATGGTGTGGTTCTACAGAAGGATACTAAGAATAAAATGGATGGAAAAATGGAAATTTTAAAGAAAGGAGGAAAGACAGCTGAGATTTCTTGGACAACTAATGAAGAAGAAAGGTTTGGAGAGTTTGACACACTCAAGACATATCGAAGGAGACAGGCAGCGGGCCACCTACCTGAAGAGATTGTATGAACTGATGGCGGAACGATGGATGATAAAAAGACAAACGTTACTAATACCTACAAGGGACAGGAAGTTATGGAGAGTCATGAGCAACACGTTCTGAAGGGACACGGCCCCTAGAAGTATCCGGGGTTTCTTCTAGACTAAATTACCAAATGCTGTCCGATATACACCTTCTAAACATAAGAACTAGAAGAGAACTGCTCATTTTGATCTCCCTCCTCCAAGCGTATTTTGCGAAATTTCAATGCAAAATGCAACGGACAGCATCGGAATTCGAACTCGGGTCGCCGATTTCGCGTTCTGAGCCACTAATCATTAAAATGCACATCTGTTAAAGGCTAGTCCAGGTCGAGCTCTGGCGTAACGCAATCATCCCAACCGCCTTCTGACTTTCCCGCCCACCAGCCACTATCGTCACCATTTCGACTTGTGCTCTATTGAGCTGACCTATTAAAATTAAAAACAGGATTTTAAATTATGGATCTTTTATGGCTAACAAACGAAGAGATCCGCATCGATTCTTATTAATTATCCCGCCCGATGCCCAAGACATTAAAAGAGAACTTAAAACCTGATGTTATATTAACCTTCACAAACACGTTCTTGCATTTGAATATATATATATATATATATATATATATATATATATATATATATATATATATATATATATATATATATATATATATATATATATATATATATATATATCCGCGTACAGAATAGCAATTGTCAGCCATTTAGGTGGACATGGTTAGATAGATAACGAAAGCCTCAAATAGATTAAAGCCTCTCTCTCATATATATATATATATATATTAGTGTGCAGTCGCCGACTTTTTAAACTGCTTTGGTATTTTCCTTAAAGGTCAGCATATATTCTGATCCCCCAACCCAACAAATAGATACACCATTTTGCAACCGGGATTGTATGTTATGCCTGAAAATACAACGCCTTTTTTGTTTGTTTTTGGTCGGGGGGTTGTGTTGGGGTGGGGTGGATTGGGGATCAGAATTAGTTATAAAAAACAGCATATGTGAAAAAAAATAAGATAAAAAGCAAATGGAAAAGAAAAAAAAAACGGTTATCTTCGGGAAAATTGTGCATTTTTCATTTAAAGGCCATAATGATGAAACTAGTCTAATAGACATTTTTTTAAATTACAGCATGTTAGATTTGCGCCTGATGCTCCATTAATTTAGTCTTGTACCAGACTAGGTGGAACCTATAACTTTTATTTCCTTCTAGCTTTTTATTTTGCTTTCCTAATTTTCTTAGTCGCGTTCCCCCTCTGACATTAACTGTCATGTTTCCTCTCCTTCCCATTCTCTGTCACAAAGACCCTTCCTCTCTGTCACATTTCCCCTTTTCTCTCTCTCACGTTACACCCTTTCTCTGTCATGTTTCCTCCCTTTCCCAGTCTCTGTCACGTTTCTTCCTTTCTCTCTGTCACGTTACCCACTTTCTCTGTGACGTTTCCTCCTCTCCCATTCTCTGTCATGTTTCCTCTCTTTCTCATTCTCTGTCACATTTCTCCCTTTCTCTGTCATGTTTTCCCTGTTTGCATTCTTTGTCTTGTTCCCCCCTCCCATTATCTCTCCCTTTCAATCTGTCACGTTACTCCCATTCTCTGTCCTGTTTCCCCCTCTTCCATTCTCTCTCACGTTCTTCCCTTTCTCTGTCCTGTTTCCCCACTTTCCCATTCTCTGTCACCTTTCTCTCTTTCTGTCTATCACGTTACTCCCTTTCTCAGTCATGTTTCCCCCCCCACTCCCATTCTCTGTCATGTTTCCTCCTCTCTCATTCTCTGTCACATTTCTCCATTTCTCTCTGCTACGTTTCTCCCTTTCTCTCTCATATTTCCCTTCCCTTGGCTTTTGAATTTTGAATAGGGATTTCAAACTTGGGCCCGAAATATAAATGCTTTAGTCCTATAGTAACAAACCAATTCAATTGAAAATCATCGTGATGTGGGATCCCATCTTGATGAGAGTCAGACAAACAGAATGATTAGGCGAAGGGCTAAATATGTTTTATTTGTTGCCTTCACCCGTCCTCATATCGTTACCCTTGTTTTTATGCATTTACACTGCAGTTGTATATATATATATATATATATATATATATATATATATATATAACAAAAAATACATGTGTGTGTGTGTGCTTGTGTGTGTGTGAACGTACGTAGGTATGTATGTATTATGTATTATTTTAATACCGATACTCGTCTGGTGGGAAAAAAACGGATAATACAATTTCCAAATAAATAACTATATATATATATATATATATATATATATATATATATATATATATATATAAATTCAGAATAAAATTTTTAAAAAAACTAAAAATCTACTATGATGGTCGAAAAAAATCATCCAACCCCTAAATGCCTCCATTAAAAGAAAAAACACCTAGTATATTAAAAAAAAATTATATATATATATATATATAAGAGTGCTCAATACATTAAGCAGAGCAAATTATAAAAAAATCCTAGTGAGTCAGAAAATACCTACCAAGGTTTCACCTAAACGGATTTTCAGGGTAAAACTGGCTGAAGAGGACAAGACGAAGCGACATATTTATAGCTAAAAACGACCTCCATAAACTAAAATTAGCATAAACCCATAAAAAAAGAATTTGTTTACATTTTGTTGAAACTTGACTAATGCATGGAATAATAATGCAACACAAAATGTACTTAGAACAAAATGTATTGAAACAAGAAAGTGTACACAATATTTACATATAGTCTTTTGTATATTCCTGGTAAGACCGTTCCTGGAGAATGTGTTGACTTAGTCGCAGTCTGGCAGAGTCTCTGGTTGAATCTCTTGATTCTCCCCTCTCTTCTCGGTACCAACCATATTTATATGGTCGGTACTCCACTATGCAAATTAGGTGGATCCTACCACAACATATATATATATATATATATATTCACCTAGACAGGTCTTTCAAAAAATTATTTATAATTGATGGAAAAAATTGTTTGAAATTTTACAAATCAGTCTGAAATATTATAGGTTCCGCTTTATCAAACTAATAGTCTTATATATGTCGATCCTTGACTTATGTTTAGAAGAAAAAATTAAATTAATTGGATACAATGATCAAATAGCCAACTATTGAATGAATTAGTGTTAAAATATCGACATAAAAACAAATTCAAATTTCCATAATATAGGTTTAACTTAATTCGCCGCCATATTTCCGTAATACTCACTCCCCTCTAGCTCTTCAAATGTCGACAGTATAATAAAATTGTAATTTCTATTTTTTATTCCTCACTTCTTCTACTTTAATGTCTCCCTCTCTTTCCACCCTTTTATATATTTTGAATTTATTTTTTAGACCCCCTTTTTATTCCTATTTTAAATTAACATTTCATTCTTCATATAACCCCATATTCATCTCATAAGGTTAATATTCGTCTTTAATTTTATGAAACTTCTTCCCTTTAAAACAAATTAACTTCCCTGTCCTTTTTTTCCTGCGTTTTTCTGACGATAATCAGTCACCCCATAAACGAAATCATAGATGCATAAGGCCTTTTTTAACTACTAGAATTCCCGAGCCATTAGGCTCAATTGCAAAATATCATTTGAACCCGTATAAACGGGTTCATAAAATAATTTACCGTTTCGTCTGACTGAAACATTGAAATGAATAAATTCTGTATTAGTTTTACCACAAATTGATATGTTTTTCGCTTTTCGCAGTTTTCTGAAGGTTATTCATTCAGTCCAATTGGGTTTGATAGAAGACAGACGACCGACATCCATTTGAAGAGTTTGAATAGGCTATTCCCCATATCTATTTGAAAATTTTATTATTTATTAATTATTTTCTCCGTAATAATGCTAAATTTTGTGGATCAGTTTTAATATTCTATATTAAAGAATCTATTTTCATTATATACCAAAGATTTTTTTTTTTTACCATATATATATATATATATATATATATATATATATATATATATATATTAAAATTTTACTTCAATTTGTCTATATGATTAGAATTATAATTTTGATTATCACTATTTTTCAGAAATAAAATTTAACTAAAAAATTAAAAAAATATCAATCTGTGGAAAAACTAAAACTAAATTTATTCATTTCAATGTATTGAAATCTCGACATTTGAATTTATTAGCTATCACAGTTGAATTCTCTTTAAAAGAACACCACTAACTGAATAGATACGAAATGTATATGATTGTTTTTAAAATTTATTGGTTATATATATATATATATATATATATATATATATATATATATATATATATACAGAAAAATTATACATGAAACATGTACATATTCATAAATTTGAAGACAATCTCAGATGCGATTGAAAGCACTTGGGAAAATGAAAACAATTATTTTTAGGATGACTTGTTCATTATATATATATATATATATAAATATATCATATATATATATATATATAATGAACAGATTGAAATTGACAAGAAAGAGATTAATTGATTGAGATATGTATCGTTAAAAACAGAAAAAACAGGTTAATATGAAAAGAGATCAGACAATAACATTCATGGAAAAACAATATTTATATAAAATATATATATATATATATATATATTTATATATATATATATATATATATATATATATATATATTTATATATATATATATATATATATATATATATAAGGTTATATATATAATATAAATAATAAATTTATATTAGTGGAAATTAAATAGAATCTCAGGTGGAACTCAATTCAATTTTGAATTTAATTTTTAATTCTTTGATTGTATCATAATTATTTTCAATGTAATAAATTATAACCATGGAATAAATTACATTTGAGCCTTTATATATATATATATATATATATATATATATATATATATATATATATATATATATATATGAGTTAATTTTTCATGTATCACAACTCTTCAGTGTTTTAGACATCCGATTATTTCAAAGCGGGATTTTTTTCGACAAATTTGGCATCAAAAGAAAATAAAGTAACAGTGCTCGGCAAAATTCAGAAAAAAAATTTTAAAGTTTTTTATACGAAATGTGTACAAACGACAGCAGCAGAGAGTGCTCAATTCGCAGTTGAAGAGCAGTAAAAATAGCATTGTACTTTTTTTTTTTTTTTTTTGTTTCTTTAACAAAAAAGACATTTCGTATCGATGAATTTTACTGATCGGCTTTTCCAAATTACGAGTAATCCTTTTCAGTTAAGAAATCAGAAATTCTTAAAAAAAAAGAAATATGGTCCAAAAATTTACACTCTTCCTAAGTTATAAATCTGGGAAGAAATAGCCAAATGATGAAAAAACTAGTGAGTGTTTTGACGTAATCAGTGTGTGAGTTTTTGCTATTTGTTTTTTTGTTGTTGTTGTTTTATTGAGTATTCGTGATCTTAAATTGTTCTTTTATAGATAAAATTCAAGATCTATTAGAATATTATTTTAGAAAATATTTGACTTAATCGAGAACATTTATACTTAAAATGTTAAAATACATATATACATACATATATATATATAATATATATATATATATATATATATATATATATATATATATATTTATTATGTATTTAAATCATTTTTTTACTGTTTCACTGTATCAATAGCTTCGTAATGAAGACATCAGAATTTTTTTAAGTTTTGTTTGAAACCCAACCAATTTTTCTGTCAGTCAGAGTTTCTGTCGCTGGGGGATCATCATTCAGCAGAGAGAAAAAGTTATATTTATAATATATATATTTATAAAAATATTTATAAATGCCATTCAATCATGGGGGAAATTTATTCATTTTAAAATTTCTTTTTGCATTATATATATATATATATATATATATATATATTTCTATATATATTATTATATTTATATATGCATTTATACTTAAAAAAAGCGCTCTATATCAGTGATAGAAATTAAATTAAAGATTTATTGATGATGTATTTGACATGAGTTTCAAAATTTTTGCAATCTTGACGAGAATTTGTCTGACATCGCAAAAAATTTAAACCTAGGATCACAAACTCACATTTTATATATATATATATATATATATATATATATATATATAGTATATATATATGTTATATTCCGTTTTTATTTCATAATCCAAGTGGATCCTATTTAATTTTTGTTATTAAAAAAATTTTTCCATCCCCAAAAATTCAATGTTTATTCTTTTACAGCAAAAATTTTAAATACTTTGGTATAGTCTATTTCAAATCAGGATAACAATAATATATATATATATATATATATATATATATATATGAAGAAAATTTTTAAAAATAATATTTTTAAAAAATAATATAAATGCAATTATATATATAATTAAATTTAAAAACAATTTTTTCCATTTTTTATCATGGTTATTTTTGTGTAGAAAAAACCATAAATTTCAATTTTTAATATATATATATATATATATATATATATATATATATATATTTAAACAAGAATTCTATATATGCAATTAAAAACAAGATAGCATAAATAAAAAAAAAAAATATTATTTTTTTTCATGAATATTTAATTTCATCGTTAAAAGATTTGATAAAATTTTAAATCTAGGAAATATTTCTTATTTTATTCTTTATTTTATCATACATATATATATATTCATACATATATATATATATATATATATTTATATTTATACACACACACACACACATATACATATATTATATATATATATATATATATATATATATATATATATATATATATCTCCCTGAAAAAATTTTTTCTACAGGAGCTCTTCGGGGAAAAAAGAATGAATTTAATTTAACTCTCAGACTATTAATATATTGATTGAAACTTATTTTGTTAAGATATTAATTCAAGATCTTAAAATTCACTTTTTTGTT